GCCGCATGCTACGTCCCGTGATCGCCATGCCCTTGCCTTTTCTTTCTCGCCCTTTGTTCTCTCTTTGTCATCTTCACTGCCTCGCTCTCGCGCCTTGTCCTTGGTTGCTAAGCAGCCCCTCTAGTATATAAGAACCCCCTTAGGCGCTCCCTAGTCCCCATCTCGACCTCTTGGTCATTGGGACTAGGTGAGTGACCATAGCGTTGTACTTCCCTTCGAGTGCTAATGTATAACTTGGTCATTGGGACTAGTCTGTCGCTGTCTGCGTGAAGACTAGCTTTCGTAGGTCTCGTGCCTTCGTGCCGACCTCCGCTCTGCCCTCGTCGAGTTTTCTGTCACGTTTATCCCTCTCCCTCTCTCTTTCCCCTTTTCAGCTCCTTGCCGCTCGCCTACGGGGTCGTCGCCGAACGTCGACCCGAGTCTACGCGCCTAGTCGCCGCGACAATAAGCGGGTGACCAGGGTTGAGATCCTTGCGCTCCCAGCGCCAGCGGAATGAGGGAAGCATGTCGAGAGCCATCCAGACGTCCTCGATAGCGATTTGGGGCGGGATACGATCGCAGCGCGACATGTGACCGTAGAGAATTACCATAGCCGCGATATGCAGTGGGATGGGAGACACGAAGAAAGCGATGTCGGGGAACCTGATGAGCTGATTGTGCACAACGATGATGTTGTGCGACGTAACGATGGCTGCAGGACGAATGTCACTGTCAGTTTGAGTTCGTCATGGCACCTCCCGACAGCCGACTCACCATCAACGAGCGCACGGTGCCTCTGGGCGTAATCGAGCTCTTTCGAGCTGAACAGAGCGCGAAGCAGCAGGATCTTCGTGATACCAATCTTCAGCAGCGTCAAACCTTCGTCCTCCGTGATATCCGCCACGAGCTTCGTGCGCCTCTCGACAGACCAGTCCTCGGTCCCGCTGAAGAACCACTTGTAGTGGTCAGGCAGCTGCTTGCGGAAGACAATCATGCTCCGGATTATCCTGTTCGCGTGGCGCATGATAGAGTCCGCCGTCTGCCTTGTAGGCGCATACAGCGAATTGATGATATCCGCCTGTATCTCCGCAATCGGTGCATTCAGGACGAAGTGCTCCGAGATCTCCGTACCCTTGCCACGTGTTGGGCGGGGAGTGTTAGAGTCACTCGGCGCAATAGCAAGCGGGCGACCAAGCTGAATGGACGTTCCACGGTCATGCACGAGGACGATACTCCAAAGCCGGATCCGGAGCTGGCACTCGTCCTCCGAGAACACGTTGTCTTGAGCTGTCGGATCGTGATGCAAACCCAGCTCGATCGCGAGCCGAACCAGGCTTCCGACCAAACGCCACAGGGTACGTCCCTGTCGCTGTCAGGGGGTCAGGACATGCTACCCCAGTGAACCGTAGCGCTGCGTCAATGACTCACCTCGGTGTACAAGTACCAGTGCAGCAGAATCAGCGCCTGCAAGCTACTCACTGTGACCCTCAGATCAGGCTTGACCATGAGCGCGAACCGGAAGAACTCTTCGTGCTCTGGCCAGTCGGGCGGCATGAGGGACTTCATGGTCGGCCCGACGGACGCGGAAGGTTGCCCGCTGTTCTCGTGCTTGCTCACGCGGTGATTGAGTTCGCTGAGCGTGCCCAGCGCAAACACCAGGTACGCGCTGCAGATGAAGCCGGGGTCGTGCGGGATCGGCTGCCCCTCGTACAGCTGGTTGAGTGTCTGCTCGAAGTCGTGGCGCAGGAGGACGGGACGATGGAAGTTGAGCCGCGAGAAGTACGCTTCGAGGATGATGCCGACGGTTTCGCGCGACTTGGGCAGCCAGACAGGAACGGTAGACGCGGCAGCTGCGTCCTGTGCCGGACTCGAAGGTGTAACGGAGACGCTGTTTCGACGCATGGTGACGGAGATCCACTTGTTCGAGTCGCGAGGCATGGAGGGGTCTCCTAGTTCGCGGTCTCGACCGGAAATCAAGGCGCTCGAACCAACGGCCAAGTCTTCCCTGTCTTGCGGCGGGATAGTCACGTCTTGCATGATGGCGCTTGCCACTCCGAATGTCTTCGCGAGGGCCTATACAATTGCAAGTCAGCTGAAGTGTTCCGGGGATGCTCGCCGTCACGGCCTTGACGCGATAGTAGTTTAGGACCCGCCCTTCTGCATGACTAGCGCACACTAGAACACGCGGTATTTCCGGCAACCCACAGACGAAGATAAGGATGTGTACGCATGCCAGGAGGGGTAGTGGTCAAGCCACATAACCATCGTGATATGCGACAAAGCGGCAAGCCCGAGCGGAGCAATTCAACAGTACTCACCTGCGTGTTCGACATGTCCTGAGATAGCGGGTCTTGGCCACGGATCTCATGGGGAGAAGATGGGCGCGGTGGCAAGTTAGGATGGTGCGCGTGCCCAAGCGGGTGGAACGGCGAGACCATGCCGCGAGGGTCGTAACCTGGAGGAGGTGGGGGGCCACCTTGCATAGGCATATGATGCGGAGGAGGATAAGGTGGATAGTGCATCGGCATCGGTCCATGGTAAGCTGGAGGCATCATGGGCTGCCCAGGAGGTGGTGGTACAGGATAAGGGTAGCCTCTGGGGGGCGATCCGCCCATGGGAGGACCTTCGGTGCGGAGAGGGAATCCACGGCTTGCGCCGGACTGGGGCGAATTGGGCGCAAATTGAAAAGTTGCCGAGACCGCATTGTCGCTGGTGTCGATCTCGATGCCCTCGCGGGCAAGGACGGTGTCAAGGTCGTTGAGGTCGAAGTTTGGGTAGTGCCGCCTGAGAAGCGCTTCGCACTGGAGGAGTTGGCGCTCGATGCGCTCGGTGTGCCCACGGGGGGTAAGGGTCTGGCGATGGCGGTCTTCCTGGTGGCAGGGCGTGCCTGCCGTCGCGCAGGCGGTGCAACGAGGATGCTTGGAGTCGCACTGTGCGGGGACGGATGGACGATGAGGTAGGGGAGGAGGAGGGGTCCCGGATGTTAGCGGACTCGGGAGGTCAGACGGGGAATTTGCCGTCGGTGTCGCCCGACGGGACTTGCCTTGATTTTCTTGCTCCTGCATCGTGCGCACGCTTCATGCGAACGCCTCAATCGTCGCGGCTCGGCAGGCTGCTGCGACTCGCCGCCATTCTGGTCGACTTTTCTCCGCTTTCTCGACGCCGACTGCGGCACTTGCGGGGGCGGCTGAGGATGCTGCTGCTGCTGAGGAGTCGGCGGTGGTTGCTGATTGGGATCGATCTGGAGCGCGGTCTGGAGAGAGGAGTGGGCAAGATTCAGGTCCGCATGGGGCGGCAAGAGGTGTGTCATGGCTGAAGATGGTGGCCGTCGGGGACGACGAGGGGGAGATTATCAACGATGTTGTCAGCGCCCGCTCTCCTTGTAAGACGCGCCTTCCAGCGTCTCACATGCCCGCTATAGAGTCCGCGGAGTTTCTCCCGCCTCCCGCGTCCACCCCCACCGCTCATCGCTGCTCGTGGCAGCGCCGACGACCATATCTGCCTTGCTTTGTTCCAGATTCGATAATAGCCGAGCGGCTCGACGACGCTGTCCATAGTAGTACATGCTCGCGTTTTGCCAGCAACGGCTGGATTTGCTTTGTCTCCATTGCTACGCACTGCCGACAGCCTCTGCGTACTGCCATTCATCACATCTGTCCTCGTTCATTCTTCCTCTCCATTCCAGGACAATCATATTTGCATTGAGATGTCTATTTCTCCGAAGTCGCTCAGTGTGCTTTCTTGGCTTCTCAACGCATATTTACATGCGTTCAAATGCACCTTCAGAAGTCCTCGAGCGCACCCCCCTGTAGATTCAGTGTAGATGTTAACGATGCTTTGCGAGTCCTGCGACAATGACTACGTTACCGTTTGGGCAGGACGGACTTTTGACGACACGAAGCGAGAAGCACCGTCATCGTATATCATACAGCTAGCAGAGTGCAAGGGTTGGCCGAGATAGCGTAGTGCGGTACTAGCAGCCTTCACGTGAGCATAACGCACGACGGCCTACACATCCGCACACAGGCGCAGACATGTCGGTTGGCTCGATATGCCCACATGCGCGTTATCCTGGGAGGTGTGCTTGGGAGCAAACACAAAAAAGGCCGATATCTGCCTTCCTGAACGAGTCGCAGCGGGCGTACGGTGCTTCTCGATATGCAGAAGTACAGACAACATCCGCACTCTAGCAGCCACGTTTGTCGGACTTGTGCTCATGGGGAAGGAGATCGGAACGTTCTTGAAGGTAGGGACCCTCTTGGTTCGAGTATACGCATTGCTGGCTTGCGTCGCCCTGCAGCAGTTCCGGCTCAACGAGCTCGGCCGTTACAGGCGATACATTTGAATGTCATAACGCTGAGTTCACAAGGAGGACTATTAGATTGTAAGGCCCACGGCGCATCGAACGGATGGGCGAGAGAGGATAGCCAGTACTGTACTTTGGCAAGGAGTTAGCACGACTTGAGCCCATTAGCAAGAAAGACGGTGACGTCGGTGGTACATAAGCTGGATGAGGAAACCCCACGTGCATGGGCTAGCGCTACGGATGCCGCCACTCCGAGTCCGAGTCCGAGTCCGAGTCCTGGCTCGCAGCTGGACCCTCCTCTTCCGCTGCCCCATCTCTTTCTTCGTCTCCCCCAGCAGCATGCCGTCCTCATCCCCGCCTGCAGACACCCGCACTCCCTTCACAGATTACGTCCCCATCGTTCCCGACGGCCGCTCCGCCTACTCGCTCGCAACGGTCTACGACGCCCCTTACATGGACTCTCGCACCTCTCTCCTCTCCAACTCCTCCGACGCCAACTATGGCACAGCTCCTCCCCCCTCTCAGCCGTCCTCCAGGAGGCTCCTGTGGAATGCCACTCTCAAGATGGCCACCATTTTCATCCTGAGCACTGCCTTCCTTGGTGGAACACTGTGGCTTGCGTTGCCGACGCTTGAAGAGTGCGTACTGTCCAAATCCGGCATAACCCGCCATCTAACCGTCCGCACAGGCAAGATAGGCCCATGCTCAAGATTCCCAAGAGCTTTGCCGAGTTGCAGGCTCTCAACCTTCTCCTCAAGAAGTACCGGGACATCTACCCATATCGCATCGTGGTCTGCTATGTGACCGCTTACCTATTGTGCGTCTTTTCGTTTCCTATATCGCCCTAGAAATCTGGGAAGATCCTCTCGCTGCTCCATATTGCGTCTCCCCATGCTCAGGACGAGGGCCCGTCTGTGTGGTGCTCGTGTTTTTCTCTGAACTTCAAAAGATGAACTTTGTCGTGACTCCGTGATATTGCTGACTACTGCACGGTTCCGTCCGGCCACCGCAAGTGACACGCCGACCGTCGGGAATGATAGGCTGCATGTTCCTGGAGATAGCAGTAGTACTTGCAGCAGTTCTAGGGGGGAGCGTCGTACACACCAGCGTTCCACGTCGCTGGTCTTCTACTCGGCGCTTCTCTACGCCTGCCACCGCAGCTTGTCCTGAGATGAAGTAGCCCGATGCTTTTTAATGTCTTCACACCCTGCCTCATTCAATTGACATGGTTTTCGTACGGAAGACGATAGCTCACATTTTTCTTGCAGCCTCCAGGCGTTCTCATTACCAGGATCGATGTACCTCTCCATCCTGGGCGGAGCTGTTTGGGGTGTGCCTCGCGCGCTCCCTCTCGCATGCGCATGTGTTGCTACTGGCGCAACGCTCTGCTACGCCATCAGTGCGGCGCTCGGTCCTGCACTCCTTACAATGCCTCGATGGAAGGCGAAGCTCGACGTCTGGGGAGACAAGCTCCGCGCACACAAGGACGACATTATCTCGTTCCTCATCGTCCTCCGCATCGCCCCACTCCCACCTCACTGGGTAGTGAACGTCATCTGCCCGCACGTCGGCATCGGCGTCGTTCCGTTCTGGATCAGCACATTCCTGGGCATATTCGGTGTCACCGTCATCCATACGACGATTGGTGGCAGCCTCGACGACATGACTTCTGCCGACGACTTCCACCTCATCTCCTGGAGGAATTTCTTGGGGCTCTCCGCAGTCGTCGTCGGCGTCATGATTCCCGTCGGCCTTCGCTACTACTTCAAGCGCGATATCCAAGCTGTTGCCGACGTCGAGGCGGAGGCGGAGGCTGCAGAGGAGGAAGAAGCCAGGGGTGATAGGATACTCGCGCAGGGCCCGCCCATCCGCTCAGATCTGGGCAAGGTCAAGGCGCAACAACCCCTCATCGTCATTTCGGACGACGAGAGTGACTTGCTCGGCTCAGACACCGAGAGTGACGAGGATATCATTCTCGAGGCGGGCCCCGCTCTCATCATCAAGCAGGACGCGAAGCCCTCGTCATCATCGTCAGCGGCCCCTCAACCAAACGACTCCAACTCGCGAGCAGATCTCTTGTAGTGCCCCCTTCCCTTGTGTCCTAGCTCTCCTGTCCCCCGACACGACCTCACGCCCTTAGCGGTCATGAACCCGTTTTTATCGAGCGCTGTAGACCACCCATCCCACCATCTCCCTGTGTATTGTATGCCAAATCGGTCTGGATGTACCTGTCCATTGCTCCACACCCCGACACCACCACCTACGTGTTTCCGTAGATTTGCAAGTTCACGCTTCTCTTCTTGCCGGTCACCCGTCTCTATCCTCACCCCCGATCCACCCCGTACTTCCATCCTGTCGTTCTACGTCCCTCCTTTTGCCCGACTACATCTCCCGTGCTCCGCTTTGGAATTCCTCTTTGCATCATGACGCCCGTCTTGGTCCTGTTGTCAGGTGCTCGAGGGCGCGTCGGACATTCCGCTCGTTGACCGTTGCTCGTCCATTCGGGTCGCTCTGCTCCTTTCTCGCGCGCCAATATATGCGTCGTCTTGAGAGTAACAGCGCACAGCTCTTTGGATTCATATTTTATACGCACGTGTATAACTAGGTAATAAGTGTCGTCGGGTCTGTACAAATATCATGGTGCTCGTCCATACTCGCCTCCTCTGCCCTCCGCTTTTACTCGTCTTCAGCCTGGCGCGGTACCCTCCTGCCAAGATCAGGATGATACTCTCAATCCCTCGCCGGCGTCATGCGTTACCGTTCGTAAGTTCTACCCCATCCGGTTTCCTTCCGCTGGCGCTTCCTCTACTCCCGCTCCTTCGCCGACTCACGCCGACTCACCTTCATCTCCGCCGTTTGCGATAGGTCACGGGAGCCAAGGGATCTGACCTCAGCGGGCATTCAAAGACGGTGAAGGTCATCCCTGTTCAGCCACGGCGCACCTCCGAGCCCTACCTCTGCTGAAGCACGGACTCCGCGGTACAGGCCGGTCCGTCCTCGGGAGGTGTACCGTGTGGGGCTCCAGTGTACAGTGCTGGTGCTACTACGGCCGCTTCGGCAGGTAGCTACGTCTTCAAGCTTCATTCGCCGCTCCTTCCTTCCCCAACTTTGCTCGGGGACGTCAGAGGGGCCCTGAAGCCTTGGAGGTGTCGTCTCTTCTTCCTGAGTACGGCATCCCGCGCAGCCTCGGCCTCGGCGGAAGCCTTCATAGTAGGTGGACGTATTGCGCTGCGAATGCCTATGCATCCCGGCCGTGCGACCGACCATACACGGAAGTTACCTGTTCCCAGGAATGCAAGCGCCCCGTAAACCTACAGCACTATTCATATGCATTTACTCTCTAGCCGCCAGTGGCCGGACTCTAATTAGGAGTACCCGCGATCGTCATCGACCGTCTGGTAAGTAACCTTGTGCAGCCGCTCGACGGCGTCTCCTAGGCCTGTCAGACGCAGAGACTCAATACCCGTTGCGACATCGCCGATCCGGAAGTGGAGAGGACAGGGGGCTTCCATGATTGCGGCGGCGGGACGATTCGCGCCGCAGGAGGTTAGATCTACATAATCGACGGCGTGGCACGATATGTATATATCTCGTGTTCAGCCGGCTCGCTGGGTAACGCCGCTATCTTGGGTTCAAGACTCGCAGCTCGACTGTGCTTCCTGTTATACGAGGGCAGGGGTTCGGGAAGTGACGGCGAGAAACGAGATGCGTTTTCGTACGGATGCATCTAGCAGGTAGCATGGCAGTCACAACTGTAGCACCGTGTTGACTCGTTGAGAGTCGAGCGGGATTTACATAAGCACAGGTCCAGACTCGTAACCGCATAGGAACGTCGTAGGGCAGGAAGGTTATGACCTGCAGAACTGCCAGTGCAGCGCCGGCAACGTCAACAACAATAATTATACTGTCGCCATGGCCCGATCCAGCCCGTACAAGCTGTCGAGGTACCGCTCATGTTGCAGTATTAAGAAGATCTGCGCCTAGCTGCGGTTTGTGGTTCGCGTCGCGAAGAGCATCGCCGGTGTCGTTGCGGTTAGTTCAGACGAGACGCCGAAGTCAGCCACACTCGAACAGCGCCACAAGGCTAACTAACGCAGTAGCGCGCATGAACATATCGTCCACCGAGCAAAGTACTGATAGCATGAATTTTGAGCACTAACAGTGGCGCTTCTGTCGAAGTGAATCCCCCTAGTCAAATGATGTCGACGACCCACAAATCTTTGGATACCGCCGGCGCAGCAGAGAGCATATATATCGCATTGGTTGTCTCGGCACGGCAATTTGATTGATATCCGTGCACGGTGCCTCCCGAGAGGCTGGGGGCACTGCATGATGTATACGATGCTCGCGGTCGCGAAATATTATTCATGCCTGTGCCCCGCTGAGTTAGTCTTTCAGAGCTGTGCATATTGTACGCGTCGGGACGTGACCGAGCACAGCAGCATGCGACGTTCCGAGGTCGATCGGGAGGCCCAGTGTAACGGATCGTTCATTACCTTATCTTATCTACATAGTTAATCTACATCTTGTATCTAAATCTGGATCGTCATGGTGATCGGCGCTGATCCATCTGGATCCGCGCGACGTGGCGAAGGCTTCTCAGCCTTTCACCACGTCCACCATAGTATACGCCCTCTCAATCTAGAGATTGGTTCAGTGTACTTTGGACTTGTGTGAATCAGGCGACACCCGTATCATTACACTTTTTTACACTTCATACCACGAATACGTGGGTTTCTAGATTGTATTGTGTGTTAGGCACCTACCATGACGGAACCCTCGACATCACACGCGACACACCGTGAGACCGCGAGCTCGAC